TTCTATTCTGTAGAGTGTTAGTTCTAATCTGCACAGTGTTAGTTCTATTCTGTAGAGTGTTAGTTCTAATCTGCACAGTGTTAGTTCTATTCTGTAGAGTGTTAGTTCTAATCTGCACAGTGTTAGTTCTATTCTGTAGAGTGTTAGTTCTATTCTGCACAGTGTTAGTTCTATTCTGTAGAGTGTTAGTTCTAATCTGCACAGTGTTAGTTCTATTCTGTAGAGTGTTAGTTCTAATCTGCACAGTGTTAGTTCTATTCTGTAGAGTGTTAGTTCTAATCTGCACAGTGTTAGTTTTATTCTGTAGAGTGTTAGTTCTATTCTGCACAGTGTTAGTTCCGTTCTGTAGAGTGTTAGTTCTAATCTGCACAGTGTTAGTTCTATTCTGTAGAGTGTTAGTTCTATTCTGCACAGTGTTAGTTCCGTTCTGTAGAGTGTTAGTTCTAATCTGCACAGTGTTAGTTCTATTCTGTAGAGTGTTAGTTCTATTCTGCACAGTGTTAGTTCCGTTCTGTAGAGTGTTAGTTCTAATCTGCACAGTGTTAGTTCTATTCTGTAGAGTGTTAGTTCTAATCTGCACAGTGTTAGTTCTATTCTGTAGAGTGTTAGTTCTAATCTGCACAGTGTTAGTTCTATTCTGTAGAGTGTTAGTTCTAATCTGCACAGTGTTAGTTCTATTCTGTAGAGTGTTAGTTCTATTCTGCACAGTGTTAGTTCTATTCTGTAGAGTGTTAGTTCTATTCTGCACAGTGTTAGTTCCGTTCTGTAGAGTGTTAGTTCTAATCTGCACAGTGTTAGTTCTATTCTGTAGAGTGTTAGTTCTAATCTGCACAGTGTTAGTTCTATTCTGTAGAGTGTTAGTTCTAATCTGCACAGTGTTAGTTCTATTCTGTAGAGTGTTAGTTCTAATCTGCACAGTGTTAGTTCTATTCTGTAGAGTGTTAGTTCTAATCTGCACAGTGTTAGTTCTATTCTGTAGAGTGTTAGTTCTAATCTGCACAGTGTTAGTTCTATTCTGTAGAGTGTTAGTTCTATTCTGCACAGTGTTAGTTCCGTTCTGTAGAGTGTTAGTTCTAATCTGCACAGTGTTAGTTCTATTCTGTAGAGTGTTAGTTCTATTCTGCACAGTGTTAGTTCCGTTCTGTAGAGTGTTAGTTCTAATCTGCACAGTGTTAGTTCTATTCTGTAGCGTGTTAGTTCTAATCTGCACAGTGTTAGTTCTATTCTGTAGCGTGTTAGTTCTAATGTACACCATGTTAGTTCTATTTTGTAGCGTGTTAGTTCTAATCTACACCATGTTAGTTCTGTCGCAGTTCATGTCAGTTCTAGTGTATACCACGTTGCTTCTAATTTATACCAAGTTAGTTGTAACTTATAGCAAGTTAGTTCTATTTTATACCACATTAAGCGTTATTTTATAACAAGTTAGTTCTAAATTATACCACGTTAGTTCTATTTTATACCATGTTATATCTAATTTATACAAAGTTTGTTCTATCTCATATAATAAGTTAGTTCTAATTTTAACCATATTAGTTCTAATTTATCCCAAGTCAGTTCTAATTATACCAAGTTAGTTCTATTTTATAACAAATTAGTTCTAATTTATACAAAGTTAGTTCTATTTTATAACAAATTAGTTCTAATTTATACCAAGTTAGTCCTATCTTATAACAAGTTAGTTCTAATTTTAACCACATTAGTTCTAATTTATCCCAAGTTAGTTCTAATTATACCAAGTTAGTTCTATTTTATAACAAATTAGTTCTAATTTATACAAAGTTAGTTCTATTTTATAACAAGTTAGCTCTAATTTATATCAAGTTAGTCCTATCTTATAACAAGTTAGTTCTAATTTTAACCACATTAGTTCTAATTTATCCCAAGTTAGTTCTAACTTATAGCAAGTTAGTTCTATTTTATAACAAGTTAGTTCTAATTTATACATGAGCTTCGATAGAACAAACATGAGCTAACTCTAGTTATTTATGCCATTTTTTAAACTCTATCAATAGCTAACTCATGTTAGTTCTAACTTATTTCATGTTAGTTCTAACTTATTTTCATGTTAGTTCTAACTTATTTTATGTTAGTTCTAATGGCAAGTAAGAGCTAACTTTAAGTGGAACTAACATTAACACTTTGGCTACTTGGTCTAGTGGTAAAGCTTGGGAATTTGGAGAGGAGGTTAGGAGTTCAAGCCCATGCAACTACAATATATATTTAAAGGTCTTTGATTAGGCCTTGGGCCTTGGGCCTCTTGGGCTCTTTGTTAGTTCTAGCCATTAGAACTAACATTAAAGAGCCCCTTTGTTAGTTCTAGCCATTAGAACTAACATTCCAGCCCTTAGAACTAACATAACAGCCCTTAGAACTAACATTGGGCTCTTTGTTAGTTCTAGCCATTAGAACTAACATTCCAGCCCTTAGAACTAACATAACAGCCCTTAGAACTAACATTTATAGTTCTAATTTTCCTTGACCCCCCTTTCAAATTCACAGGTTCTTAGATTCTTTAGTCGACTTTTAATCACATTATCTTCAATTTTTAGCTAAATGTCGATATGTCTGAAGATTCAATGTGAGCTTTTGAATTTCTGCTGTTAATCTCTTATACAAAACTCTGTCAATCACCAAATCACACAAGAAAAAGGCATTAAAGAAAAACCCAAACTGCTGTTCAAGAATCCAAGGAGATCTCATTTCAATTAAATGAAAGAGAAAAACTACAAAAATCCAATATCGATTCCCTTCATAAATTACAAGAAAACAAGAGCACTATCTTGATTAAGACATTGATTTGGGTAAAGATATTCCGTAACCTAGAAAGGGGAGAACAACGATGCATCAGACCAAAGCCCCAGGCTCCGTCAGCTCGCGGGTCCCCGGACCATGTTCCGTGTTTGTTGTTGAACCCGCGTTCACGAGCTGTTTCTAAGATGACTCCCCGACCTCCGACTCCATGACCACCGTCCTCGCCTTTGCCATCCACGACCTCCTCAGTCTGATAATTTTCAGCGGCCATGACGGAAGTGAGAGAGAAGGAGAAGCTGAGAGATAGAGTGGAGGGAGAGAGAGAGAGAGAGAGAGAGAGAGAGAGAGAGAGAGAGAGAGAGAGAGAAGAGAGAGAGAGAGAGAGAGAGAGAGAGAGAGAGAGATGGGATGGGGTTAAAGGGATGGGCGCAGTTACCAAGCTCAATCAAATCAAAGGGTAAATTTGTAACTTTTGTTGGGTTTTTCTCAGGATCTGGTACTTTGGGGCCTTAACACAAATACAATGTGTATTTGGGGCTGAATCACATGGGGCAAAATACAAGGGGGCGGGTCACATGAACTTTCTGCTTTTGGGGCCTGGACACATTTTTCCCTAAAAAAAAATAGTCATGTGTTCTTCTATGATACCAAAATATAACAAGTGAGTGCCTAATCTTATCTTCACCTAATTAGGATTCCTCAACAGATTAAAACTATCCATGATTAGAAAATTCTAACCATAAATTTTTTTTGTAATCCTAATTAAATTATAATTATCTATAATTTAAAATCTCATAATCATATCCCTCCTTTTATATAAAAACTAGTGAACTACTCCTAATGGATAAAAAAACAAGCCATGGGTCAAAAAATTCCAGATCAAGTTAAAACAATCTTTAATTAGAAAATTCTACTAATTAAAACCATGATTTCTAATTCTCTTGTCTAAGAATCCTTATCAGATTAAAACTATCTATAATTTGAAAATTCTAAAAATCAAAGCCCTCCTTTACATAAAAGAGTTTTTCAAGATTAAAATTTATCAACTACCCCCTTCAAAGTCTAAAAATTACAAACAACCCCCTAATAGTCCAAAAAACAATAAACTACCCATTGAGATTAAAAAATTAGAAACAACCTCACGATTAATCTAAAATTTTAAATAAGCCCCTAAAATTAAAAATTTGCCGCCAACCCCTTAAGATTCATAAATTACAAATAAACTCCTTAAAAGTCTGAAAATTATAAATAGCACCCAAAATTTAGACAATTATACACAACCCTTTTAAAATCCATAAATTACACCCACCAGAGTAACAAACAGTTAGTAGGTTTTAAATGGCTCCAACAATCTTGGGTTCGATTCCAAACTACGTTATAAAAAAAATTTCATAAATCACAAACAATCTCTAGAAAAGCTAAAAATTTTACAAACAGGCATTTGAAAATTTTACGGCAGGATCCATGAGACTTTCTGATGTATGTAACAAACACTATGTTAAAAGTTTTGAAGTATTCAAAGTTCCTCATAGAAATCTTAAACCTCACCAGTCTAGACAACCAAAAATACTGCTGATACATGCATCCAAAAAATAAAATTTTTGTCTCAATTTCATTCGTTTTTACGCAAAGATAATGGAAGTATCGATCTCAGTTATCCAGCCATTCTCAAATAATGAACATATCATTTCCACTTCTGCGCCATAGTTAGCAAGGAACATATGTTTAACAGCATACACATCATAAATAGCGGCGCGAATTTATGCAAAAGAACCATATTATAATTTCAGCATTGACACCTCTACTACCCAAATAAGGTACAGAAATACCCTCAAAATACACACGATAAAAAGACTACAACGGCATACACATCACACATTGAGGCAAAAGCTTTACCAAAAAGAACATATTCCAATTTCAGCATTGACACCTCTACCACCAAAATAAGCTACAGAAACACCCTCAAATTATACGCTATAAAATCCTACAACAATGATATACAGTTTACAGCAGTCTCACCAGTTCAGATCATTTACAAGCTGAGGTTAACTAGCCCAAAATTCGTCCAACTCAAATCAGGTAGCTTCTCAGACAAAGTTCCATTTGTACATTTACAAACTATAGAGGAGGAGCTCCATTTCCTTTAGTCAACTTGGCTTCCTAACTCTGATTAGTACCACACCAGTTAAGACTGTATCGCTTAATTGCATTAAAACAAAAACGAAGAACCAGTTAACCACAGTTGGATCCACAGGAGCCTCAAGAAGAAACTGAACGCCGAAAGTAGAACGCAAGCCCTGTAAGAATCTTAGCCATATTTTTTCTTTCCCTCCATCGGAACGAAGTAAATGGAAAATTCTTTGACTTCACATATATAGTTGCTTGAGTTCTCTTTGGAACAATTTGATGGGAACTGACTGATTATATGTTAACAAATTCTGCATTCACATTGTTTGCACAAGCATGAATTCTGATATCCCATGCCCCAGTGAAGTTTTCCAGCAAACAGAAATAGGTAAGTTCAGAAAACTTCATTAGTCTCCAACGCACATGGATGCCTTCATAAAACAGATACTTGCATAAGTTTTTTCAAGCATAGGCAATTGCTCCAACTTTCCTTGTAATGCAATGAGAATAATACATTTTTCACAAAAAGTAGAACCCCAACTGGACAACTAGCAAACAAAAAGTCTATGCTTCCACACTCTCAGCAGTGCACCTCTTTGCGACAGCATGGTTTCCTAGAAAATCATGTATTTCATCTTTGGAGGCGTTATCTTCAGGAACCTCACGGTTATTGACACCTTCCAACTTCCTCTCATTCAAGTTGGAAGCAGCCAAACTTGAGTTCACTATTGCCAAATCATCAGATAAGCAAGCACCATTATTTCCTAATGATGTATCATCAAGACCTTCTACTTTGATGCCATCACCTAAAATAGATATTTTGCTTTCATCGTTCACAATAAAGGCAATACTACTACCAGTAAGGCCATTCTTTTGGCGACAAGATTCCGACAGGCAAGAAATTGGCTTGTTGGGAAGCTCTGCTCCATCTGAGGTTGCTATACTTGAACAGGACTGACGATTACTAACACCACCAACTTCACTGTGCTGAGCTGTCAAGAAACAGTTCTCAGAGGAAGGCATTAATGTCTCCCTCTGCTGAACATTAACCTCCTCCAGTCGAGCATTTGTGCTGACAGGGAGTGAAGATTTTCTATCCAGGTCATTTCTGGGATTTACGGCAGGGGGTTGTCCGGTTAAGGCATTAAAACTTTCTGCCAAAGTCTCCCACTTGTTAGATTGGTGTTCCCTTGAGCAGAAATCAATATTCTCTACTGCATAGCCCCCAAAAAAATTATTCTATATTAGATTCCAGTACTCTTCAGTCATATAACAAAACCCATCTACTGAAAAAGAAAAGGATAACATCAAGAAGGAAAAAACTTCAACCTGGCCCTTGAGCTGATGAAGCTTCATGCAGGTTTTTCATCAACAATGTGGTTCCAGGAAATAGCATCAAGTTGACATCGGTCAGTTGCTGCTTCTCTTCACCTTCGATAGCTTTAAACCCAAAACCTGATGTCCATGTCTCAACTAAACTTGGAATGGCTGATAAAACCAGAACCTTAACCTTGAAAGATATCAGCATCTATATCCACAGAAGGCATAAAAGAGTATTAGTATATGCAATTGGGATTCACATGACTTTAGTCATAAACAAGAAGCTTCATATCACTGCACATGTTTTCCTCAGCACTTTAATCCAAGCATAAGAAAGAAAGTTGACATACTTCATCACACTATTGAGAATATTCTGCTGTGTGCATTTATCTACACAACCCAGGCATTCAACAAGCTTCTTCTAGTTAAGCTTCTTCAAACGAGACATAATGGACCACAAAGGTGCATTTCTTATAGCTTTACCTCTGAAGCTTCTTCAAACGAGACATAATGGACCAGTGCTATATTTGTTGTCAGCACTGCTTGTCCCAAGCCAAACCAAGATAAAGGAGGAAAGTTATGTTAGGTAGCCGACAACGAGCGTAAAACATAGTCGGATCCACATGAAAAATGAATCATATTATGTACTCGTTAGGGCATCCCCTCTGCGACGTGTTGTATCGATGCCAACCCAATGCAATGATAAGTAAGCAAGGGTGGTTTGCTAGGGCGTTCCTCGGAAGCGATGCATTACATCGATGTCATCCCGGTGTAATGATAAGTAAGCAATTGTGTCCTAAGAATCTACAATCCTCTAATAGGTTACCTAATAGTATTAGGCATAGACTGGAACGGTCTAAGAGGAAAAATGATAGGAGACTTTTATAAAAAAAATAAAATTAGATTAGCTACTTGGAATATAGGTACACTTACCGGAAAGAAACATGTATCTAGTATATATATTGATGTGATTAAAGATATATATGATAGAGTAACTAGAGTAAGAACTAATAAATGAGAGACTAAATCATTTCTTATTACTATTGGTTTACACTAAGGGACAGTTTTAAATCCTTATATTTTTGCATTAGTTATGTACGAACATACTAAGCACATTCAGGATGAAATCCCATGGTGTATGTTATTTACTGATAATATAGTATTAGTTGATGAAACTAGAAGATGCATTATTTTTTAAGTAGAAAGATAGAGACGGGCTCTTGAATCTAAATGTTTTAGAATTAGTAGAACAAAAAACAAAATATATGGAGTGCATTTTTAGTAAAACTAGGAAAGAAAAAGAGCTCATGGTACATATTAATGGCCAAGAAATACCTAAAACTAATCATTTTCGCTATTTAGGATTAATGATTAAGCATGATGTTGAGATAGAGGCTGATGTTGTGCATAGAATCAAATCGGAATGGTTGAAATAGAAGAGTGCTTCGGGAGTCTTATGTGATCGTAGAATACCAATAAAACTAAAGAAAAAAATTCTATAGGACGATTATAAGACCAACTATGCTTTATGAGTCAGAATGTTAAGCAATTAAAAAATAACATGTTTAAAAAATGTGTAGCAGAAATGAGAATGTTAAGATGGTCTTGTGGGTATATATTAAAACATAGAATAAGAAATGAGTGCATCCGTAGTAAATTAGAGATTGCGTCTATTGAGGATAAAATAAGAGAGAATAGATTAAGATGGTTTGGTCATGTACAACGAAGACACCTTACTGCATCGATTAGGAAAAACAATAATATTAGAGTTAATAGGGCTACGAGATCTAGAAATTACCTAGAAAGACTTGGTTAGAAGCAATTAAGAAAGATATGATTAAGAATAACTTAACGGAGGAGATGACCCATAACAGAATGAAATAAAAACATAGGATTCATGTAACCGATCACAAACATTTAGGATAAAGGCTTTGTTGTTGTTTGTTGTGTTGCCCAACTCTTAATTATGTTAACTACCCGCTATGAAGCACGGACACGCATAACATGAAGCCGTGTCGTGTCCGTGTCGGACACACGTGTCGAACACACGTATCTTATGTATTTTTTAGGATTTGCCTCGTGTCGGCGTGTCGGATGGCCGTGTCGGATCCGTGTCCGCGCTACATAGACTATCCGCACCCAATATTTAAAAACTCTAACAAAAGTTTACATTTAAAATAATGAATTATATGTTTGCATCCTATAGAGATAGGTCAATTTAATTTCAAGTGTATTAGAAGCATTTAACCATTCAATTTAAAATTGCACAAGACCAAATAATAGAAGCATTTAACCGTTGTACATTCACAAGACCATCGTAACATTCTCATTTCTGCTATTAGGCCAGAGAAGAAGAATCCAGTCCTATACTAACCAAATAAAATATCTGAGTTTGAATATCTATGATCTAAATTTCAACCCAATAGACCTAATAAGTAGAAACAGAAAGTGGGATTACCTTTTCAATTGCATCCAACAGACGGCGGCACATTCCTTGGCGACGGTGATCACTGCAAGTTGCAATGAGAGGCATCTCCGCTACAGTTGCTCCATGCACCCTGGAGAAGAGAAATGTAAGAATTTAAAGTATATCTCCCGCCTGTTCATGATTTTTAAATGGAAGCTTGAGCATCAATCAAAGAGGTAGCATCAATACATATCTCTCCGATATGCTTTTTCTGCTCATGTAATTATAAGAATTTTCAGCAAACTCAGTCTTGCCAATAGGAAATTATGCTATGTGGTAACTGAATGACAGATAGAAGGTTAAATACTGCATATTAAATGCCATAAGTAGTGTCAATTCATTTTTATTTGAATTAACTTTATTAGGAAACTGCATAGTTACATTTAAATATCGTTTTACATCTGAATTAATTCCATGTGGAAAGTAATAGCATGCCTCATTTAGAATCTGCAGTCATGAGGAAGTTATGTGAATTCTGCTGCACCATTTGTCCTCATATTGCCTAAAAGCAATAATTTCGAGCCTAACTGGCAAGTTGAGGCATCACAATAAATACAAATTCTCCAAGTTAATAATATTTTGGTCACTACATCCAGCATAACTTGCAGATATCTCCATGGAGTCACCTTAATCCACAATGAGGATACGACTTGGTTGTATTTCACAAGCCATGTAGAAGTTTTGGCAGTTTCCAAGAAACAATTTCATTTTATTCCAAATTCCTAACAAATTTGACCTACTTCCTTACGAAGGCATAAATAAATAGATTAATTAGTTGCATCAAAAAGTTCTCGCAAATAACATTATGAAATTTTCACATACGGAGGACCATGATGTGAGCAGGAATAAGTAGTATTTTTCTCAAAAGGTGACAGAGCAAAGTATCACCAAAACGCTCCATGATAGGATATAGTGTTAACCTAGAGCTCGTATTTGTTCGTAAATGTTACCAAGCCCCTAACACATGGTCTTCACAAGTTGGCACAATTTCCTATATCCGATAAATAATTACAATATGAAAAATTGATTCAAGAAAACAAAAACAAGAACAAAGTCAAGCGTTGTAACGAACACGTGCATAATGTTGATGTAACAGCAACCCAAGGAAGCAATTATCTCGTGCTAGAAAGAGAGACAATAAAAAAAAGATTTATCGAAAAGGAAGGAGCAGGTCTGATCCAACAAAAGAACCATATAACTGTAATATTTCAACGAACAAAGACGATGGTCATTTGGTATCACATTGAGTATCTAAGGGTTTTCGTATCAGCTTATAGTTTAGTAAGTTGTGCAAGCTCATTTTGGCAAGGAGCAAGCTTTCTAATTTCCCTATAAAATTGAAAAAGCCTAGACAAAAGAGTAAGAAGGTGAACTTCCTACAGAGAATGTCACTGATGTATGGTACACAAAATTCCAACGAAAAATTCGGCTCAAGTTCACTCAACAAATATCATGAAAATTTTCCTTTTAAAACTATACTATGGATTTATCGTTACCTGATTGATGCTACTGAGATAAGCTTATCGCCTTTCTCCAGAACAACAGCATAAAACCCTTTATAATTTAACCGAGCAAATGATGATCTGAAGAAAAAAGTAGGATCAGTGTTAATCCAAGGAAGTAGTGATCAAGGAAGATCAATAAGAACATATGTCTAAAGGAAAGGTTATGAAACTCTGCTGAACTTTGCTATAACTTAACAGGTGTCTACACAACCTAAATTAAGAGAAATGATGTGATAATGATGATAAGACAGCCATATAAAACAACCCAGCAAAACATATAAAGAATAAATGTATAGAACATTAGTAGCATTCACCAAGAGTGAGCACACACAGAAAACAATAAATCCTACAGAATAAAAACAACTAAAATTTTGAACCAAATGTTTCAATCAACAGCTAAGAGTTGCCACTAGGATATTCTCTTCAGGAGTTTGGTAAGTATAGTGAAGATGCAACTGACTGTTACTTTTTTGTTTCAACAGTTGGAAGTCATGCTTGTAATTAAATTCGCAATGCAGGCAGCTCCTTTATGCTTCAAGCAACAGTTAAGGTTATGCCACTATAGTTTTTATGCTTTATTGTGTAACTCTTTCTTAAAAAGTAGGAAAGTCACGCTTGTAAGTGAAAATCTTAGAATACTATTTAACCCCCCCCCCCCCCACCCCCCCGCG